CACGCGTCGAGGCCCGGGACCAGGGCCACGGCTTGGAGCGGGGCCGCCTGCGGGGCCGGGACAGGCGGCTGCTGGGCTCCCTCCTGCTCCTCTGAGGACCCGGGCGACCTGGACACTCACGGCCACGCTGGACAAAATAAACGTGTATTTTTTGTTGCCGTCCGGCCTTTGTTTCACTCCAGTATTCACGGAAATGATATCTGGCTATCACGGTAAAAGATCACGTCCCTTGAAACTTCTTTTCAGCAAGTGGAATGGCTTTCCGCAGTGCTTTCCCCACGTGGCATGCCGACGGCAACTTCTGGGGGCCGTGGCTGCTGCTGGGAACTAGAGAACCACATGACTAGGGGCCACGCACTACTATTGGGCTATAGGGAATCACGTGGCTATGGGTCACACGCTCCTAATGGGAAATAATGAATCACGGGATGTGTAGCATTTGCTCCGAAATCCGCATGTTAAAGTTTGTTTATTCCGTAACACCCATTGAGACTATCTTAGAGCATTTATTACTTTTGAGGTCTTATGTAAGACCCTAGATGAAACAATGAGGTCAAGGGAGGGCAAGTGACTTGTCCAAGGTCAACAGTGAATTATTTATTGGAACTCCATTCTGACGCTCGTAGCTATATCTTGCTGGAAAAGCACTGGAGAAAAATGAAACCATTTTAATGTTCAAAGTTTAAGGAGCAATCATAGTGGCTTTAAAAGTTTTTACTTGTGTACTTCTTAAAACCTAAAAACGTAGGCCCTGCTATGCCCATTTTGCTAATGAGGATTCTGAGGCACAGGATAAAGAGCAGGGTCAGGATTTGAGCTTAAGCAATCAGCATTTCTTGCGTTACTCTTACATAAGTAATAACGCAGTGGTCTAAAGGGCTCGTCTCATTAAACTTGTGAGATTGTGTGAATTATCCCTAAAATTGTTGAGTCAGGTGGGGGGTCTCCTCACATTCCTCAGCCTCTACAGGCAAAGTAAATTGGTTGAAATAAGTGATATATTATCTCATGCTGATAACTTCAGACATTGAACTGAGCTGGGGGGGCTAAGATTCTGCCAGAGGAGGAAGCTAACTGGCCTCAGAATCATAGAAACAGCAGTACCAGACTTATTGGAACCAGGTGAATTAATCTGCTGCAACAGGCAATCTAGAGTGTACACGTAACATTGTTCTACCTCTGGCTTCTGATAGAGGTAATAGATGTAATAATCCTATGTTTGCTTTTGCATTTTGAGTCAGGGTCTCAGGCTCGAGTTCAGTGGCACCATCATGGCTCGCTGCAGCCTAGACCTCCTGGTTTCAGGCGATCCTTCTGCCTCAGCCTCCGCCTTAGCTGGGACTACAGGCAGGTGCCACCTTGCCTAATCTGTCTTTCTTTTTACTTTTTTGAGGGGGAGGTAGGGACAAGGTCTTGCTATGTTGCCCAGACTGGTCTCAGACTCCTGGGTTCAAGCAGTCCTCCCTCCTCAGTCTCCGACTCATCCGTCATCCTTCCCATTCACTACCAGCCTGGCATGTTTCTTCCTTTCTTATGCAAATAAGAGGAAAATGTGTCCTAAATGAGGGATGGAAAAGTTGGAAATATTTAAATATATGTCATGGCATTAAATATGACTACATTATCAATCTGAATTCAGAACGGGTTTCTGCTTTTTAAAACTTGTTAACAGTTTATCCATTGGTGCCTGTGCTATTTAGAAGTTTCCATTTCAGTCACAAATCAGGCATAAACTGAATACAGGTTATTGTGGTGGGTATTTATAATGATGACCACTGAACAATTGTGAAGAGTACTGTAGATTCTTTGACTCTATCAAAATCAGCTACATCCAGAAGCTTGCAGTGGTTGACCAAATGAATGATGACATGTAGTACTTCATATCTAATATGTGTCCTTCTGTTTACTCAGTTACTGTTTTCTTGGTCCTCAAGCCACCTTTTTTTTCTGTATAATCTTCTTCATGACTTTAGAATTTTGATACTATAACGATCACTGAGTACACAAAGATAGTACTTTAAGAAAAAAATTAATGGAGCATGCAAACAACTTGGCTATGTATAATATTGTGAGTCTTTATTTTCCTGTTTTTTAAAAAAATAAAAACAGATTGCATTGGTTGTTTAAATAGCAAGACCTAGTTACAGTAAACGTTGTCATCGATATTGTCACTAGATTATATATACCTCATTTTACTTATCAGATTTTTTCCAAGAAAGTAAATCAACATATTTCAGGGATCTAAGTTTTCCATGAAATAATGTTAGTTATCCCCTCTTCCTAGGACACGAGGCGCGGCCGGAAAGGCGGCTGCCCCCTCAAGGGTCACGCACTGTACGTTGGTGGGGAACCTGGTGCCAAACCATTCGTAGATGACCTGCTTCTGGGTCGGGGTTTCCTATGTAGCAGAGCAGCTCCCTCGCTGTGATCTATTGAAAGTTAGCCCTCAACTCAAGGGTTTGGAATAAAATAAAATAAAATGTTAGTTATTTCCAAACAGAATCTCCATAATGTCAAGTTATGGTTGATCACATAATCTAAGCCTAATCAAAAAGATTTTTTTTTTTTGAGTTGGAGTCTCACTGTGTCACCCAGACTGGAGTGCAGGGACCGCGTCCTCGACCTGGTGGGCTCCGGCAATCCTTCCGTCTCAGTCTTCCAAGTAGCTGGAACTACAGGTGCGCGCTACCACGCCTGGCTAATTTTTGATTTATTGTAGAGATGAGGTCTCACCAAGTTGCCCAGGCGGGTCTCAAACCCGCGGGCTCAGGCAATCCCTCACCTCAGCCTCCCAAAGCACGGGATTACAGGCTGAGCCACTGAGCCCGGCTAAAAAGATTTTTAAAGGACTGAAATAGAATCACATATAATAAAAGTATGGAATTTTAGGATTGAAAAGAACCTTAAGAATCATTTTGCACAAGTTTATGCATCATAACAGTAGACCAGAGAGGCAAATTTCATATTGCCACAAATCACACAGTCAAAGAGCTAGGATTAGAAATAATTTCACTCTTAAATGTAATGAACCTGTGCACTACTACTTCCAGGAAATGAGTAATATTTACACACAAATTATTTTACATCCATGAACTAATTTGAGTTTTTTGCATTTTAGAAATCTTACTTGCAATACAAATGTTTGTGTCTTTCTGGAGGAAATTTACATTTGGTTTTACACTTTGCGCCCTCTGGTGGATTCCTCAAGTGTCTTGTTGGTGGCACTATCTCCTTAGTATTAGACCATCTCAACTCAATAAAGCCAATCTAACGCCTGGACCATATGTTCTTGAAAATGTTTGCTAATATTAGACTGTAGTGAATATTCACACCACAAAATAAATATCACTATCTGAGAGCAGAGGGTGCCAAATCTATTTTAGATTAAAAGGGAAAAAAAGAGAAAAATGCTCCTAGTAATAATGAAGTTGGGACTGTGTGTCAGAGGCTTGTTGGCTGCAGAAAACCATCAGTACCCACATCTTCTCCACAAGTAATATGGCACGATCTTGCCTCTGCGGTTTAAATATTTTAATATATTCCAAGAAAAAAGCTACACAGCAAACGGAACATGCCAACTTAAATAGCGTTATTTGATAAATATTTAAAAATCGCTCCTGCATTGTCACTTGGTTTTACAAATATAATGTATTCTATCGCTAAAATACTAGCTTCAATATGGCTCAAACATGCCCAGAAGATTATTTCTTTGAATCTAATTTTCTTTTATATGTACTTCAACAGTTCACAAACATTCTCCTCATACCCATTCTCAGGACTTAGTTCAAAATACAATTTTTGGTCAAGGACATTTGAAAGACAAAGCAAAAAGTGGGTTCTCTGTGATCTGTATGATATTAAAGCAAGGAAAATATGTAAGTGGCTAAAAAGACATTCATTTAGAACATACAGGGCTACAGCTGTTCAGGATCCTAGACTGGTGGCTGTAGGACAAAGGATCACTGCTCTCCTGAAATTAAGTCTTCCAAGGCACGGGAGGAAATAGACAATAAACAATTTTAGTAGTGCTTCAGAAAAAAAAAAAGTGATCATGGGAATGAGTGCAGTTATGGTGAGGAAGTCCCTTGGATTGGGAGATTGAGAAAGGTCTAAAAGAAGACCTGACATGAGCTTCATCTCTGTGTGTCACTTACATGTTGCCATTGTATTTCAATCCCCTGCATTGACCTAGGTACTCCTGACCTCCCAGGGTCACCTGACAAGTACTTTCCTAGGAAATTTGCCTCAAGGCTGTGAGTTCAACAGATGGAACAGGCCTGAGGCAGCCCATGCCCAGTTTTTACTATTCTATACAGACACATAGCAAAATCCCATTAGCTAAGAATTTTATTATGGGCCTATATAATGGCTATGGCATTAATCTGAGAGGATCCAAACTCTACTCAGATTAGGCCTTCTGGGGCATATTGCTATATTGCAAATATAGCAATATTATTTGTATTTTTTTTCTTTTCTATGCTTTTTTTTTTTTTTTTTTTGCATTTTGCATTTTGTAATTTTCACAGCAAACTCTTACCCTTCATGCCCTTAAAGTTTCTCAGCCACTGTTTGGGCTAGTTAACGTTTACCTCACCTGGTATTGATGCTATACGTTGGCACCTTCAGTACTTGAGCCAGACAGTCAACAGCCAAGAAGTCATTTGACAGTTCCTCCTTACCGTCCTTCCTCCCTCTTCCTGCTGGAATACAAAAGTTGCTTGGACTTTGGATTCTTGACTTTTAAGCTGATGCCGGCATGAGTTAAGATTTTAGGGGCTGTTGAGATGAAAGTAATATGTTTTACATCTGAGAAGGACTTAAATTTGGGGGGGCTAAGGATGAAATAAAATGCACTGAATGTTTATGTTCCTCCAAAATTAATATCAAAATCAGATCCCCAAAGTGATGGTGTTAACAAGTGAGGCCTTTGGGAAGGGATCGGGCAGACCTCTTGTGAACGGGATGAATGCTCTTGTAAGAGATACCCCAGAGAGATCCCTCATCCCTTCGGACATGTGAGGCTACAGTGAGAAGACCACTATCTGTGAGAAAGCGGGTCCTCAACAGACACCAAATCTATCAGTACTTTGGTCTTAGATGTCCTGGCCTCTAGAACTGTGAGAAACATATTTCTGTTATTTATGAGCTACTCAGTCTATGGTATTTTGTTATAGAAACCTAAGTGAACTAGGACAAGAAGCAAATAGTAACTTTTTTTTTCACCTTATGACTTTCACAGCAAACATTTATCCTGGATGCCCTAAAGCTTCTCAACCGCATTTGGGCTAGTTACTCTCATTGTACCTGATGTAGGTGCTGTCAATTGGCACCTTCACACCCAGTTCAA